TTTCATGAAATTCTTCTGTGTCTTCCAATTCCTTTCGATACAGTGACTCAGTATATTCCTTCCATCTTTTTTTAATACTTCCGGGATCATTTAATGTTCTGCCAAAAGCATCCTTGATTATAGTAACTCGAGGTTTGAATTTGTTCTTCAGTTCCTTGAGCTTAAGATAAAACTACATAGTATATAATTATTGTTGTTGTTACGTGCTATTGAGTAGATTACAACTGATCTGAACCTTTCCCTATCCTGTACCATCTTCATAATCTCTGATAGCTTCAAGCCCATTGTTAGAGTAAATGAGCATTAACCACCTTATATATTGATAACTATGAAGTGTTCCCCTGCTCTGTTCACACAACAGCCTCCTGGTCCAGGTATAAGTTCAATGTGAGCACAATTAAGTGCTCTGGGACTCTCATTCTTCTCAATGTCAGCCACAACTTGTTATGACCCACACAGTCAAAATGCCTTTGCATAGTCAATAAAAAGCACAAATAGATGTTTTTTTCTGGTATTCTTTACTTACAGCTAGCATCCATTTGACATCAACAATGATATCCCTGGTGCAACAGCCTCTTCTAAATCCTTCCTAAACTTCTGGAAGTTCCCTATTTATGTACTGTTCTAGCTGTTTTTGAATGACCTTCAGCAGTATTTTACTTGCATATGATATTAATGATATTGTTCAAGAGTTTCCACTTTTAATTGGGATGGGAACAGATATGGACCTCTTCCAATCCGTTAGCCAGACAACTGTCCTCCAAATTTCCTGGCTGTTGTGTGAACAGAGCAAGAGAACACTACATGGTTTAAAATTGTGAGGGGAGTGTGTCAGGATTGTATTCTTTCTCCATATCTATTTAATCTGTATGCTGAACAAATTATTTGAGAAACTGGATTTTATGAAGAGGAATGTGGCATCAGGATTTGAGAGAGACTAATTCGTAACCTGTGTTATGCAGATGGCACAACCTTCCTTGTTGAAAGTGATGAGGACTTGAAGACCTTGTTGCAGAAGATCAAAGAATGCAACCTACAGTATGGATTGCATCTCAATGTCAAGAAAACCAAGATTCTTACCACTGGACCAATAACCAGTGTCCTGATGGACGGAGAGGAGGCTGAAACTGTGAATAGCTTCATCTTGCTTGGATCCCCAATTTACACCATTGGTACCAGCAGTCAGGAAATAAGGAGACACATTGCAGTTGGAAAATATGCAGTTAGAGACCTCTCCAAATTATTGAGGAATAATGATGTCAGTTTGATGACTAAGGTGTGTCTGATTCAGGCCATAGTCTTTCAGATCACTTGCTATGCATCTGAAAGCTGGACAGTGAATAAGGATGACAGAAAAAGAACTGACGCCTTTGAGCTGTGGTGTTGGAAAAGAGCACTGAACACCCCATGGATATCCAAAAGAATAAACAGACATGTCTTGGAGATGGTGCAGCTGGAGTGCCCTTTGGAGGCAAGAATGATGTGGCTTCACATCACAAACTTTCAACATGTTGCTAGGAGGAGCGATTTTTTGGAGAGTGTCATGATGCTGGGAAGAGTGGAGGAGAAGAAGAAGGAGAAGGGAAGAAGACCCTTGACTAGGTGGTTTGACAAGGTGACTGCCCCAATTGGCTCTTGTGTTTTAGGAAGTGTGAGGATGGCACAGAATAGAACAGGGTTCAGATCTTTTATTCATAGGGTCACTATGAGTTCTACTTGACTCAACAGCACCTAACAACAAAACCAAAATATATTTATAAAAACAAATAAATGTAATGGGTACTAATAGTATACAATAATGACTACGCAGTCAAATCTGATTATGCTATTGGGTTGTTTTATTTTTATGTGCCAAGGAGCCCACTCATAGCTGGACTTCCAGCAGGTTTTCAGAAGTTGCAAACTGCATAGGAGGAGACTGCCCATCTTTCTCCCACAGAGCAGCTGGTAGATTCTAACTGCCTGCCTTTGGGTTTGTAGGAAAACTCCCTATGCATTATGCCACCAGACCTCCCTTAAGGTTACTGTTATTGTTACATGCCGTTGAGTCAGAACTGACACAACAACACATTAACAACAGTCCACCAGAGTTCCCTAAAGGTTATTAGGACTCTGGCATTTAAGCCTACACTGGAAATAGAAATATCTTTTTCTAGGTGATGATAGTTACTGGTGATAGTTTATCTAATAAATGTAAGTAGAGTAAAATGCATATTCCATTATTATGCCAGAATAAATATAAAGCTTAGTGAAGTAAAGTAAAAGTAGTAAAAGTAAAATAGAAGTAAAAAGTTATGAAAAATAAACAACCTAAATTAAAAAAAAAAGTAAAAAGTTACTAATTTCTTATAAGGTGATTCTTTCTCAGAATATAAAGCTTATTTTAGATTAGATATTTCAATAGGGAAAAATAAAGAAATATAATTTTCCCACTCACCCAATGCTGTGTCCAAATTACACGTTAACAGGATATCTCTAGTTGTTACCAGAAGGTGTAAGACAGCAGCATACTTGAGCGTTAGTTCTCTTCCACCATTTGTACCTAAGTAAGCAAAGACTTATTTAAAGATAGAATATGTATTTGAATTTAAATATTCATTGTTGTTGTGTGTCATTGAGTTGGAATAAAATCATTACTGACCCTACAGCAGGTTTTCAGAGGCAGTTAATCATATGAGAGGAGACTGCCCATCTTTCTCCTACAGAGTAACTGGTGGATTCCAACTGCATGACTTTGGGATTGCAGTGCAACTTCCTGTCACTAGGCCACCAGAGCTTCCTTAGCACTAGCTACCAGAATATGCATTAGAATGCTAAATAATAAATCTGGAAGGTAGGTTCTTTCTGTATGGTTGTTAATTGTGTTTGGGATGAACATTCTTTTAAGAGTCTTTCAATTGGCTGTACTGAGGTAACTTAGGGTTATTGTGATGTGATGCTGAATGCTGTGCTACTGGTGTGTCCAATGCCATAATGGTTACTCATGGTGGACAGTGTTTAGTGAAGCTACCAAATTAAGACAGGCTTGGAAGCAGCAGTGACATCCACTTCCTAAATAACATGCCTCTGGAAACTCTATTAACTTGGAGAAATACAATTGTGCTAGAACAGGGTTTAGTCTTTTGTTCATAGGGTTTCTATGAGTTGTGTTTGACTCGATGGCACTTAACAACAACTCTTATTACTGAATGTTTACTGTGTGTGAGGCTGTATAAGAACAGAATATTTCATTGAATCCGTACAATAACTCTATCAATTAAGTTTATTATTCTTATTTTGTAGAGGAGAAAACAGTCTTAACAAGGTTCAGTAACTGCAAGTCAATTAGTAAACAAATGGTAGAGTTTACATTTAAACCAACACAGGTAATTTCAGAGTTTATGCCCTTGATATTTAAAAAAAAAATCTAATTCTTTTTACTGTTGATGGGTAAAATGTTCAGTGATTTTAATTTATAACACAAAAAGAAAATTGTATAACTTTCTAACTTATTAGTACTGGATGATCATATTAACATAAAACAATACTTTGAAATGGAGATGGATATATCTGGTCAATAAAATGATTCATATAGATGATAAATTCACAGACAAAAGTAAATTACCCAATTAGTGTGTTCTCTGTAGTTTCTGAGAAGTAAGGATGGTAAGACTTCACCTCACATACTTTCAGCATGTTTTGTTTTGGTTGGCTTGTTTAGTTAATTATTTCAGGCAGGAGGGTAAACCTAATCTGTGTTACTCTATCTTGGAAAGAAGAAAAGGCTCAAAAGTCACATAAATAAATCTAATTTTTGTCTCCTTTTCCTTTATTTTGGAAAGGTTTGATGTTTCAGATGCTAACAATAATAGAATTAATTTAGTTGCTGCAATAGTAGTCTGTCAAGTGAAATATTCCAATTAGAAGATTCACTAAAAACCAATATTAGGTGTTATGTCATACGTTTCCTCTTACTTCGTTCGTAGTCCTACTAGTATTGATCTGTTTTTAGTTGATATACCCTGTTGAGTCAGAACTAACTCATAGGTGGCCCTTCAATGGGTTTTCGGAAGCAGTAAATTGCACACGAGTTGATCATCTTTCTCCTGCCGAGCAGTGAGTGGATTCAAACCACATGCTTTTGGGTTAGCAGCACAGCTGCTTATATCTGGGTCACCAGAGAACCCAGTATTGGTTTAGAATTATGTTATAAACACACTGAATTATCATTCTTCTATCCATGACTGTATAATTTTATATCCTCTATATTAAATATCTATTAATTTACTGTAATAATCCAGAAATTGATATTATTTTAAATAACATGATTTTATTTACACTTGCCTTGATGAATAGCATCACACATTGCTTTTTCTTGTTTCTTTAAGAAGAACCTTGATTGGTCAAAGATAACAGTGGCAAAGTTCCAATTAGCAGCAGGAAGAGTACAGAGGTATGTAAGCTTCTTTAAGATAGGAGTAGCCGCTGCTTCTAGGAGGCAGTATGCTTGACACTGGCTATCTGCAAAATTAAAGCACTAAAATGAATGTTTCTATAAAGATAAAATACTTCTGGTGTTTTTTTAAACATAAAGGCTTATTTTAGATTATTTCTAAATAAACTAGTGACAAACAAACAAAACCCCTAGAATTAGTATAATTTCATGTCTATCTTGTTTATGAGAAATGAATTTAGTAACATTCAATATGCCAGGTATGAAGAGCTATATGAAACATAGCTTCCCCTACATTGCTAAAGGGAGCTCTGGTGGCTTAATGGGGTTTCACAATCAACTTAAAGTCTTACAGTTCAAATGCAACAGCTGCTCTATGGTAGAAAGATGGGAAATCTCCATTGTGATTTAATGCCTCTGAAAATCCGTGAAGGGTCAGCTGTGAATTGGTCAACTGTGAATTGGTTCCAATTCCACAGTACATAATAACAATATTATTAAAACCAAAGCTAAATAAAGTTTTAATAGTGACAAATTGTTTCTAGTTTTTCCTAGAATATCATTATTGAAAGATTTGCATAGCTTTCCAAACCCACTGCTGTCAAGTTAATTATAATTCATAGTGACTCAATTGGATGAAGCAGAACCATCCCATAAGGTTTTTAAGAGTGTAATCTTTATAGCAGTTGACTCTCATATTGGTGGGTTCAAACTGCTGACCTTTTGGCTAATGACGAGCATTTAACTATTTCACCATTAGAGTTCCTTGCATAGCTATCTAGAAACTAAATGAATCTGAAACAAACAAAAAAGAAAATATATTTGAGACTAATGTCATATTTCCTTATTGATTTTAATAATATTATGCCTTTGAGTTGTAGTGTTAGAGAAGAGTACAGTAATTAACATCCCATGAACTGTCAAAGGAACAAATGAGTGTGTCTTGGAGAAAGTACAACCAGAGTACTCCTTTGAAGCAAGGATTGAGAACTTCATCTCACATATTTTGGGCATATTGCTAGGAGAGGCTATTCCTTGAAAGGGGACATCATGCTTGGAAAGGTTGAGAGTCAGCACAAGAGAGGAAGACCCTCAATAAAACTGACTCACACAGTGACTGCAGCTATGAAGTCAAGTGTTTTAGAGATGATAAGGATGGAATAGGGTAGGGCAGGGGTCAGATTTGTTGTTCAGGAAGTCACAATGAGTTGTACTTGACTTTACGGCACCTAACAACAGCAACAACAACATGATGGTCTTAAACTGACTGTTCTTTTAGTGTCAAAGAATATATTTTACAGCAGAACAAAATGTTAATCAATTCATTGATCAATAGCAACTTTATATAGAGCCCTGACTGAGCATAAATGAATAGAGAGAAATCACCAGCAGTTCATTTTTCCTTACTGGGCAGAACAGTTGAAGGGATTGCAGTTTGTTCTTCTCTAATTACTCTAAGAAATCACAAAACTTTAAATCAAGAAAGAAAGAATACCTAGTGAACTTGGGCAGGGACATAGGGGATGGCAAAGGCAGTAAATAGGATATTTTTGGTTTGGAAATAGAAGTGGAATGAAGAAATGAAGGTAACTCTGAGCAGATATATCTGAAACAACTGAAGAAAACCACATGGAAAATGAACTATGTTCTAAACTTGCAGGAAAGGGATTTCAAGTTGAGTAAAACTGAAAGCATCTAAAAAACCTATATAACATACCTGATGCTTGGACTTCAATGATGTTATCTATCTCCTTTTCCTGACTTAATTTCTCTAGATTCTTTTTAGTAGAAACAATAAGATTTTCTTCTTGAAGAGGCACTGGATGTTCCTCTTTATTTTGAAATTCTAATTTAAAATAAGAAGTACATTGTTCAGGAGAAACTTATTATTGCTTTACTTACATGCTTTCTTTCATCTAAAATATGAGAGAAACATCATGCTTGGAGAGGCAGAGGGATAGCAAAGGGAAGGAAGACCCTCAACCAGGTGGATTGACACAGTGACTGTGGTAATGGGTTTGAATATGTCAGAGATTGTAAGGATAGCACAGGATAGGACATGGTTCTGATTCTGTTGTTAATAGGGTTATTATCAGTTGTACTTAATTTGATGGCACCTAATAAAGATCTGAACTGTGTACTATCCTATGCCAGCCTCACACTTCCTGACAAACTAACAGAGTTCAAACCCGTTATTCATAGGGTTGCTGTGGGTCATACTCAACTTGATGGTACCTAAGAACAACATAAATTTTAAGACAATTTTTTCTATTGCTCATTTTTCAATGTTATGTTCTAAGTTACAGTTACATATAGCATCGTCACTACGTTTTTAAATTATAAGGTGATAAATTACAAAAAAAGACATTCCCTTCTATTACATTTTCTGTAGAATTTTTCACCATAGAAAATATACTGATTGAGAAAGTAATATAGCTTTAAGTAGACTTATAAAAGGTCCTGTATTTTAGAAGGACATATACAATTATTATAATATTAAGGTCTGACAGTCTTATGTACACTGATAACAGCAGTGATGACTAAGTATGCTATGTCTATCAAATAAATATTTATATGTATATTTATTGCATCAAGGTAACCTGTGTCAAACTTATTGTAGCATGCCTATTCTTTACTAAAAGTGAAACTGTATGACACATATGCTCTCTTTTACTGGGTCATGAACATTGAATGTAACTATATAGTCAGTCAGAAATGCTGGTGAGGTGGAAAGACAATTAAATGGATAAATAGGATAAATGGATAAATAGGTTTTTAAGTTGATACTAAAACAGAAGTTAAAGTACTAAGGAAAGAAAATGTATAAAAAAAGAAAAGAGAATGATAGAAAGAACAACAAAAGTTAGAAATACAATGAACCTGTATGAGAAAGTTTCAGGAAGCTAGTTTTATAAGCAGTTGTTTCTCTTACAGTTTCAAATGTACTTTTTAATTGTACAAAAACCATGTCTCTGCATTATGTGAATAAATAAGAATAATTAATTAATGACATTTTTCTTTGACTATAAAATTAATATAAATCTATTTTCAAAGATTTTATTTCTTTGCTTCCTAAAACAAATTATGCATAATTCTTGACACTATCAGATCTATGCCAAAATATTACTAATTACTACCACCTTTTCTATCACTAATTATGACTTCTGCCTTTGAGGTATAAGCCTTGTAGCTATTTCGTAGCATTATGAAATCATTCAAAAGATCCATATAATTTTCTTGTTTTTTATCATGTTCAACAGATACTTTCTCACTTCCCGAAGAACAGCATGATTCAATAGCTGGTGCTGTACAGTCAAGGACAAAGTGATCTTTATTTTCTTTCTTATCGATTATTCTATAAACTAGCTGTGGATCCTTCTTCGTTTTGTCTTCTTTTGTTGGCCTTTTAACAGAGATACATTTATTGGAAAAACATAGATTTGGTATTTCTTTGACCAGAGAAGGGATCTTTTGTGGAAATGATATATGATCATTTGCAGATTTCTCATTTATGCATAGAATAGAAGAAGAACCACTCTTACATTGTGGTAGCACTGAAAACAGGAAAAGAAAAATACCTAAATGATTACTATGCCTAAATAAATGAATTTTAATTAAGATATTAGGTTGATTTTAGTTACAATTTACTATTTTTTATTTTTTTCAGTTTACTATTAAAATGATACTTAAGAGTACTTGATTTACAATTTTGAAAATCAATTTCTGGTCTCTATAAAAAGAAACATTAAAACATGACAGAGATTCTGTATTTCATTTTTTTACTGCAAGACTAGGTTATGAAGAAAAGAAAGAATTCCAGAAGAGAACCTCTCTCTTTATCAATTGGTTTGTATGAGTCAGTTGGAAAAATAGTTACTCCAAGGGTTCAATATATGTACTAGGAAGTTACAGACTGCCAACACACCATATTCTCTTTCAGAGAAACTCAATGTTTGCAGTTCAGGACACTACATCCAAACTGATCTAGCATCTAACTTCTACCGACATCTAACCTACTCCTTCAGTCTACACCAAGAGCCAGCAAATAGCTGACAGTAACAACATACAGAGAGATAGGAAAGAAGGGGGGGAACACCCCCCCCCACAAAAATAATAGAGTTTGCTTTGGATCTCATCTATTCAAAGTAGAGAGAGCGATTCTCTTCTTTCAGACTCTTTTGTGTCCACTTAACTATCTACCTGCCCACTTTTCATCTTTACACACTATCTGTCTGGCACACATGACGGGGCTTTTCTTGGAGCTATGTCTCTCTACAACTGGTACTATATTATGGAATTTGAGCCATGTTTAATTTCAGCCTGCAGATTGTTCTTACATTATTTTCTGCCTTATTCCACCATCCACCTGCAACCATTACAGCATAACTGACTACAAAAAGAATTCAAGAGATAGAAACCCAATATATGTTTGCTTTATAAAGTATATAAGTAAAAAGTTTTAAATTATGAAACTTTTTCATGAAAAGGAAAGATTTTCTAATGTTGAAGAGATTACTATATACTAGCAAACTCTCAAAGTTCAGATGACAAATGAAAAACTAACAGTTATGGTAATATGCTGATTTTTGGCTAGATGTAAAAGAAACTCAGCTAGAAATTAATCATTTATCAAAAGAAACAAGTCAATTTTAATTAAAAATTATTATAAATTTTAAAACAGATACTGAAGAATTTTAGAACAGAGAAAAAAGTTAGCTGCTCTAATTTCCTAAAAATATTTCAAGGAAGAAAATGGACCTAGAAGTTCAAGCCAGTATTAAATGTTGGAGCATAATTACATTTTCGCAATCATCCAGCAAAAGGAAACCCATTATCTGATATTTTTCAATTTGAAAATGTTCATAGTTACTTATTAGCATGTACGTACATTTCAATTTGAAAATGTTCACAAAGTGACTTACTAGCATGTACTTACACTTTAACTGAAGTAAATTTGTAGGTAAGAAGATCTCCTTTCCAGTATTTTCAGAAGAAAGAGAATCATGACACAAATTTGTATTTCGATGCACCATCACTTTTAACATACTCAATTCTACTTGCTTCCACAACTTTAGTCTTAAAGGACTAAACACAAGGCTCTTTTCTTCAAAAGAAAATATCTTTTTAAGATGTGTAACTGAATGTGGACTGTTGGGCTCTTCAATTCTTGGTACTTAAAAAGATCCCCCCCCCAAAAAAAACAACAATCAATCAAAAGAGTACATAGAGCAGAAGAGATGAAAAACATGATACACAGAATCACGTTGAAAATTCCTGATCAAAAAATATATTTCTATAGATTATTGTTGTTGTTGTTAAGTGCCGTCAAGTAGTAGATGACTCATAATGACCCTATGAACAAAAGACCTGAACACTTGTATAACTTTCATTGTTTCTCTAAGTTTAGAGTTTCCGGAGGCAAGCTATTTTGGAAGTGGATGCCACTCCTGCTTCCAAGCCTGTTTTAATCTGGGAGCTCCACCAAACACTGTCCTCCATGGGTAACCATTATCATATTTGACACATTAGTACCACAGGGTTTAGCATAACCATTATCATATTTGACACATTAGTACCACAGGGTTTAGCATCACAGCAGCCATATCTCTATACAGCAAGTGGACAGAAGACTGTTAGACCAAAAACAGTTAAAACTGGGCCTGAGGGCCACATTAGGAGATGAAAAAAAGGAGCCTGAAGTTATGCCTCGTATTTTGTTTTCAAGACTTTAATATTTGTAAAAATCTAAAATACTACAGCAATAAAAATCAAAGAAAGAATTCATAAAGTCTAAAGTATTATAATGAGTTTAAGCAAGTAATAGATATATCTGATCACATTTTATGATAAAGATCTGAGATCTCTCAGATACCATGGTACAGTTTTTATTATTTTTAGTCTAAATAGAAAGATCTTAATTTCTGAAGGATTTGTAGTTGCTATTGTGTACTATTAAGTAAGAACTGACCCACAGCTGACTCTCATGTGGGTTTTCAGAGGCAGTTAACCACATGGAAGGAGATAGCCCATTATTTTCCCATGGAACAGCTGGTGGACTTAAACCCTGTGCCTTTCAGATTTCAGCATGCCTTCTTGCCACTAGGCCACCAGAACTCCCTGGATTTGTAGTAGTACAACTATTTAATGTTAACACCTTTTATAGGTTTATTATTATAACAAACACTAATTCAAAATTAGGATTGTAAATTTTGAAATATTGACTTTGGAATAGTGCTTTTTAGAATAATAACTATTATTCTAATATAGCTATTAATATTAACAATAGTAATTTTAATTTACTAAAATACATATAACACTGTGCTATGAGCTTTATAGATTGTTATCAGTTAATTCTTAAATAAACTTATTATATAATATTTTAGTGGTTTTATATAATTAGTATAATTATATAATTTAGTAGTTTTGTATCATTGACATATAATAAATTGGACATATTTAAAGTAAACAGTATGGCATATTATTATATACTCATGATACCATTGTAAATAATAAATGTTTTTTCATGATTCTCCAAATTTCTCTTCCTTACATTTTTAAAGTGTAAAATTCAGTGACATTCATTACATTGACCACGTTGTGTAACGGTCACCACAATCAATGTTCAAATCTTTATCACTTCAAACAGAAACTCAGTACTCCTCAAGCAGTAACTCCCTACTCTTTTCTCTCCTAAAACCCTGGTAATCAATGAATCTACTTTAATTTCAATGTATTTGATTTTTTTAGATATTTTCATACAAATGAGACCATATATTTGTCCTTTTGTATTTGAATGACTCATTTTACTTAGCATAATGCTTTCAATATTCATCCATTATATAGCATATATTAGAACTTTCATTTTTTTTATGGATAAATAATATTCATTGTATGCATATACAATGGAATACATTTTATCATTTATCTGTTGATGTGACATTATTTCCATAAGAATACTGCTGTACAAGTATCTGTTTGAAACCCTCCTTATAGGTCTTTTGTGTATATATGAACATTGAACAATGTGGAATTGGAGGGTCATATGACAATTCTATGTTTAACCTTTTTGAGGACCTAACAGACTCTTTTCTAGCCTCTATAATTTACTTTTAAAAATTATATATTATCCAGAGTTCCATTTCCTAAGTGGATTAGTTCAGACCCAGAAAAAAAGAGTATAAACTGAGATAAACTTGTAATATGTACAAAGATTTCTATTACAGCCTCTTTAGAATTCTTGGAAACCAAACATCAATTTTCACATTAGCTAAAATAATTTCAATAGCATTATCAAAAATTTTACAACTAACTTACAAATAAACTTTGGAAATATATGCCTATGGATGAACTCTACTTGCACTTTTTTCCCTTTCCAAATAGAAATTACCAAAAAAATCTTGTCAAGATCTTGCCATAATCTTCATACGCTCCTGAGCATAAGAAGCATTTGGACAGATATTTGGGTATTTTCCAGCTTTGTATTAAGTCATATATTCATTGTTAAGAAATGTTCAGTGGAAAAAAGATACTGCATATTTTTACTTATCGTATATTTATATCTTTATTTTCTATTTAGCACTCAAAATCATCTAAGCTTTACCTGTAAGAAAAAATGTTTTCAAAATACCTCCAAAGCTTTCTAACTGCAATACCATCCAATATTTATTAGTTGATCCTTTAATGGTAAGAAAATTACTAAAAGAGAAGAGAGAAAATTTAGTACATTTACAAAATGGAAACTTTTTGTACAATAAGATTTGTTTTAAATTACTTTTTATAATTAAAAGCAAGTGAAATTAACTCTATCACATAAATGCATAAATTGAAGTATAAAATATCATAGTCTAAATTTCAAGTACTGACTCCTCTTTCCCAAAGAAAGTTTCGTATATGTCATCTGCTTAACTGCTTTCCCTTGCTCTCTAACATCCTCCTACTTCTTGCTTTTTCAATGGAACCTGGAACAAGAGGGATGAGAAGAGGATTTTATTACTTCTCTCCATTAACTGGGACTTTTTAAGCCACCCCAAATAAAAGTGTACTTTACATAAAATTTTCATGCAAACAGGTTTTTGGGTTTTTTTGTTTATTTTTTTATACAAAATGGCCATTCCCAGTCCCTTTTACTTAGAAATTGTAAAGCTTCTATTGTTGGGGAATCAGAAGTAGAAAAACCTAGTTCAGTTCTTTAAAAAAATCAAATCCAATTCACTATAATCAAGTAAATTCCAACTCAAAGTGACCCTGTGTGAGGCTTCTGAAGCTGTAATTCTGAATGGGAATAGACTGCTTCATCTCTTTACTCTGCAGAGTGGCTAGCTAGCTTAGAACAGTTGATCTTAGTGTGTAAGTGGTGAGTGATTTGATCTGTGCATGGCTGTGAGGGTTTTTGGGTGGTGGGCGAGAAATACAAAATATGCATGACAATCAGTTCAAATTAGGGCTCATCAGTAGTTATGAAGTTGCATCGGTAGGAAAACTTTAAAAGCTCAAACTCATTGCTGTTGAGTCAGAACCGATTCACAGCTGACTCTCAAGGTTGTAAACTGTGTAGGAACAGAGTGCCCATCTTTTCCCCATGTAGCCACTGTGCATATGAACTGCCAGGAAGGTGCATATGAACTGCCAGGAAGGTGCACTTTGAGTAGTGAGCAGCTAAACTCCCTTCAGGCTACACAAGGGAGCTCTCTTGGTAGGGAGGCAGTCTGATGTTTACAGTCTGCAAACTCTCTTTTAAATCTGTGCCCCAAACCTACCATTCCCTCAAGTAAGAATCAATTGTATTTTGTTTCTCTGATCATACAGAAAAATATGAAAACATACTAATTATGTTGGTTTTGTGTCAAGTTGACTGTGACTCATAGCAACCCTATGTACAACAGCCTTGAATCCTGCTTTATCCTGAGCCAATCTCATCATCTCTGACAACCCTAACCTCATAAGCCCAATCACAGAGTCAATCCATTTCATCCAGGCTCTTCCTCTCCTGCACTTTTCCTCCATTCTTCCAAGCATGACGTCCTTCTCCAAGGACTGAACCCTCTTGACTACATGCCCAAAGTATGTCAGATGGAGCTTCAAAATTCTTGCCTCCAAAGAGAAGCTTGGTTTCACCCTCTCTAGGACAGAAATGTTTGTTCTCTTGGCAGTCCATGGTATGTTCAATACTCTTCTCCACCACCACAACTTAAAGGCATAGATTCTTCTACCATCCAGTACTCTGATGCACAGCAAGTAATTCCGAAGACCATGGCCTGGACCAGGCACACCTTTGTCTCCAGACTGACATCATTGCTCTTCAGTACTCTAGAGAGGTTCCTGACAGCAGATTTTCCCAATGCAATTTGTCTTTTGATTTCCTGACTGCTGGTGCCAAGAGTGTTGACTGTTGAACCAAGCAAGCTGTAGTAGTTAATAATCTCAATCTCTTCTCCATCTATAATGGTCCAGTGATAAGAATCTTTGTTTTCTTGATTTTGAGCTTTAATAAATAATGAAGACTGCAGTTCTTGACCTTCTGAAGCAAACAACTCAAGTCCTCAGTGTCAGCAAGGTTGTATCATCTGCGTAATGCAGGTTGTTGATGAGTCTTCCTTCCTCCAGTCCTTCTCATAAAGTCCAGCCTCCCAAATGACAAGAGCTGCTAATTAAATTGGAGGAGCTCTGGTGGCCTAGTGGTAAGAAGCTGAACTATCAATTTAAAGGCATGGAGTTTGAATCCACCAGCTGATCTGTGGGAGAAGATAGGCAATTTCCTTCTATATGATTTACTGTTTCTGAAAACTTGCTGGATGGCAGATAACAATGCAACAGTTAAATAGGAGTCCTGGAGGCACAGTGGTTAAGTATTCAGCTGCTAATAGAAAAAAATCAGTGTTTGGAACATTTTAGCTGCTCCATGAGAAAAAGCTAGGGAAATCTCCTTTGGTAAAGATTTGCAACCTTAGAAACCCTAGGGAGTTTTACTTTGTCCTACAGGGTCACTATGAGTTTGAATTGACTCAATGAGAGTGCTTCTGGCTTGTTTGTTAAATCAACAATCCAGGATAGTAGAAACTTAGCATTATGTCTGTATCATCCAATTTACTCACACAAGGAACAATCTGGGTATGTGGTGGCAAATTTCAGCAACTCGGACAATTTCTGATCTTTTCCAAAAACTTTCTTATGAGACACCTCAACTCATGGGCAATTATTTAAAGAAAATTTATTTAGGCAAGCTGTGTTCAACAGGAGACCAAATAAAGCAAATATGCTCACTCTTAATGGAACTTTCTGAAGACATGTTTGAATTTGATGTATTATTTGGTCATGTACAAAAACATTTAATCAATTGGTATCTAGACATAAGGTTTTATGTAGTTTTCTGTTAAGCCCCATAAAAATGTAGCCAAGGCATATATGTGATAGGGAATACGGCATCAGGATTGGTGGAAAAGTCATCAACAACCTGCATTATGCAGATGACACAACCCTGCTTGCTGAAACTGAGGAGCACTTGAAGCGCTTGCTGCAGAAGGTCAAGGATTGCAGCCTTCAATATGGATTGAAGCTCAACATCAAGAAAACAGATTTTCACCACTGGGCCAATTGGCAGCATCAGTATGGATGGTGAAGAGACTGAGATAGTTAACAGTTTTCATTTACTTGGTTCCACAGTCAACACTCTTGGTAATAGCAGCCAGGAAATTAAGAGACTAATTGCATTGGGAAAGTCATCTGTGAGGGACCTCTCAAGAGTACTGAAGAGCAACAACATCAGGCTGGAGACTAAGGTGTGCCTGATATGGGTTATAGTCTTCACAATTACGTGCTATGCATCAGAGAGTTGGACAGTGAATAGGGATGACAGAAAGAGAATTGATGCCTTTGAGTTGTGGTGCTGGAGAAGAGTGTTGAATACACCATGAACTGCTAGGAGAACAAACAGGTTTGTCCTGGAGAAGGTGAAGGCGGAAAGTTCCTTGAAGTCAAGGATTCTGAAACTATCTGACATATTTTCGGCATGTTGCAAGGAGGGACTGGTCCTTGCAGAGGGACATCATGTCTGGCAGAGGGGAGGGATGGTGCAGGAGAGGAAGACCTTTGATGAGATGGATCGATTCTGTGACTGGAGTCATGAGAATGAGTGCATTTGAGATGGCTAGGTTGGCACAGGATAGAACGGCATTTAGAGCTCTTGGACATAGGGTCTCTATGAGTCGCAAGCGACTCGATGGCACATAAAAACAACAACAACTTTTTAACTAGGTATATTATTTTTAACCAAAATGTTATATTCTGGAACATAATCAATCTCTAAAAGGAAGTTAAGAGCTATTTAAGAGATAATGGATTTCTAATGGTGTTGTCTGTAGGGAGTTGTACTTTTAATTCAAAGATATTACCTGTCTGATAGTTTTAATCCACCAGTGATTCCAGGGGTGGGGGATAGGCAATCTCTTCCTGTGCAATTCCTAGTCTCTAAGAAGTCAATGGAAGGTAAGCTATGAGTTGGTTCTGACTCAATAGCTATGAGTTATTTGTTGAAGGGCACAAGAATATATTTTCTCACTCTGTTGCTTTTTATTTAATATTTTTTCTTTTTCTTAAGTTTTACCATTAAAGCACAAATGCATTTTTATAGAAGCATTTTCCATTTTTATATTCATAAACCAAATGTAAATAATTTATTTCTTACTGGTAAATGTAACAGCAATAAGACAGCTTTCTTTCATGTTGTTTCAATTGGCTCTAAAGTACTTGTTGTTGTTAGGTGCTGTTGTGTATGACCCATAGTAACCTTATGAACAAATGATCTGAATTCTTGTACTATTTTGTGCCTACATCACCATGTGACATACTTGAGCCCACTGCTGCCATCACTGTGTCAATCCATCTAGTTGAGGGTCTTCCTCAGTTATTACTAATTTCCCAATTCTCCATCTTTCCAAGCATGAAATTCTCTCTCCAAGGAATGGCCTCTCCTAGCAACATATCCTGAATATGTGAGATGATGCTTTGTCATCTTTGCCTCTAAGGAGTACTCTGGCTGCATGCACCAAGACATATGTCTCCAAGACATATCTGTTTGTTCTTTGGCAGTCCACGGGATATTCAGTACTTTTCTCTAGTTCCCAAAGACAGCAATTCTTCTTCTGTCATCCTGATTCATTGTCCAGCTCTCCAATGCAGAATAAGTGGCTGAAAAGACAATGGCTTGAATCATGAGCACCTTAGTTACCAATGATACCATTGCTCCTCAGTAATTTGGAGGGCTTCCTGACTGTGGACTTTCCTAGTGCAAGAGTTTTCTGATTCACAGTGCCAAATGCCTTCACATAGTCAATAAAACACAAATAGGCATTCTTCTGGTATTCTTTGCTTTCAACCAGGATACATCTCTGGCACTCTTCTAAATCTGGCTTGAGCTTCTGGCAATTCTATGTACTGTTCTAATAATTTTTTTACGATATTCAGCAGTATTTTGTTTGCATGTGATATTAATGATACTGTTTGATCATTTCCACATTCTCTTGGATCACCTTTCTTGAGAATGGGAATAAATATAGATCTCTCTTCCAGTCAGATCATCATCGGGGTGGGGGGGATCATCGTTAGATTCACTCTAACCATCAGTCAGCAAGTTAGTTATCCTAAAAACTTCCTGGCATTGAATGGTGAGCACATCCAGGGCTGCATCTGTTATTTGAAACATTCCAATTGATTTCCCATCAATTCCAGTGGGCTTAATTTTTTCCACTGCCTTCAGTGTGGCTTGAAGTTCCTTTTTTACCTTTGGCTATGGAGAACAACCACTTCGCCAACTGACTGGAAGAGATCTATATTTGTTCCCATTCCAAAGAAGGGTGACCCAACAGAGTGTGGAAACTATAGAACAACATCATTTATTTCACATGCAAGCAAGATTCTACTGAAGATCATCCAAAAACGACTGGGACAGCACATCAGCAGAGACTTGCCAGAAGTCCAGGCTGGGTTTAGAAGGGGTCGTGGCACTAGGGATATTGTAGCTGATGTTAGATGGATCTTGGCTGAAAGCAGGGAATACCAGAAGAATGTCTACCTGTTTTTCATTGATTTG